TGCGGGGGTGGAGGGACGCGGCGGCGGGTGGAGGGGCCGGGGGGGAGAGATTGGCGGGGCCTGGCGGCTGGAAGCCGCTCAGGCCATGCTGCCAGTGTCCGGGGGCGGGGGGGGGGAGGAAGAGGGCTTACCTGCTGCTGCTGCCTCCTCCTCCTGCTCTGCGTGGAGCTCTTCTCTCCCCCCGCGAGTATTGCGGGTCCCCTTTCTTGTGCTTATCTAATTCCCTTTTGAAGCCATACAGTGCTGACCCTTGATCTGGAGATTTGCGTCCTCTTATCCTAGTCCGAGGGGGAGAGGGGTGTTGTAACGAATGCTTGTAAAGGATGAGAAGGTACAATGTAGATTTGCAACACCCCTTTTCCCCCTCTGACTAGGACAGAAGGACTCAGAGCTCCACTTCTACCGTGTCTGATGAAGGGAGCTTTGACTCTGGAGAGCTTCCACCCTGAAACTCTCGTGGGTCTCTAATTATTATTATTATCGTATGGCCTTGGTGCGTCGTATAGCCAGGAGATGTTCAGATCGTCTGGCACCCAGAAATTCTAGCTCTTTCAGCGTTATGCACCACTAGGTGGCGAGCTAGACTTGTTTTTAAGGTGAGAGACGTTTCAGAGGTGGTTTGTCACTGCCTCCCTCTGCGTCACAACCAATGTTCCCTCTAAGCTGTGGAGTCCTGTGAGCAAAAATTCTACTTTGTAAGCTACTGGCATTAAAGTTGTGAGCCAGCGATTTGACTACTGCATAAATCAGTTGGCTCTGGAGCCATCCTTCCTGAGCGAAGACAAAAATGTGTGAGCAGAAGGCTAAGAAACGGTGAGCTAGCTCACACTAACTCAGCTTAGAGGGAACACTGGCCATGACCCTGGTATTCCTTGGCGGTCTCGCCCTTCCGAATACTAGCCAAGGCCGACCTTGCTTCGCTTCCGAGTTCTGAAGAGATCGGGCTAGCCTGGGCTATCTCTAAATTGCTGTTGGACTCCAATCCAGCCCAGAGCTGGCAACCAGATCTGAAAAACAGCTGATGGGTCCAACCCACCGGGGACCCTTTGTGCTGATGCTGACAAGCCACCCGCACACGGTTAGCATTACCCCCTCCTTGTCCATCCCCACAGTCAAAGGAAGTCTCGACACATGGCTTCCACGCAAGATGGAAACTAGCTGGTAACTCCACACATCTGTGGATTATCTCTCTCATACATACACAGAGAAAGCGGTTCCTTCCTGGTATTTCTACCATTTCACTATGCCAGGCCGTGTTTCAGTGCTTACCCCAATTTTAAAATATCCCTCCCAGCATGCCAAAAACCAGGGCTATTTTTGGGCAGGAACGCACAGGAACGGAGTTCCGGCTGGCTCCTGAGGTGGCCACGCCCAGCAGGAACTCGTTAGCATAATAGGCCACACCCAACAGCAGGAACTCAGTAGGATTGGCTACATTAGGGGTGTGTGGGGCCTAACATGCAAAGGAGTTCCTGCTACAAGAAAAGGCCCTGGGTTTTGACAACAAACAAGGTAAACAGAATAAGAAGCAAAAGGTGGGTGTGGCTGGATGAGCACACTTCTGGTAACATGGGGGTGCGGCCTAATGCGCTAATGAGCTGTGCTGTCAGGGTGGGGCCTAATATGCTAATGAGTTCCTGCTGGGCTTTTTCTACAAAAAAAGCCCTGCCAAAAACCAATATATGGGGCAGGAGATTAATCTAGAAGTCTGCCAGTTTAGGGCTGCAGGCGGGGCTTGGAGATCTCTTGGAATTAGAACCGATCTCCAGAGATCAGTTTCCCCTGGAGAAAACGTCTGCTTTGGAGGGTTGACTTTATGGAATTTCACCCCTGCTTCCCTTCCTCAAGACTCCACCTTCCGCTGGTACCCTCAAGATTTCCAGGAATTTCACCACAGGGAGTTGGCAACCGTTTCCCACAGTCTTCTCTGCGAGGGTGTGATAATCCTAATGATTAAAGCTGCATTTGTGACTTCCAGCGCCTCAAAGGTAACAAACTGCACATTTCCTGGTACTGGGTTGGGGAGGGGGAGATATATATTATTCATTCATTGCCTTCAAATAGCAGCCGACGTCTGGCAACTGCAAAGAGTTCTCAAGGCAAGAGACAAACGCAGGTACTTGGCCACTGTTGTCTCTGCACAGCAACCCTGGACTTCCTTGGTGGTCTCCCATCCAAATACTAACCAGGGCCGACTCTGCTTAGCTTCCCAAGTCTGACAAGATGGGGCGAGCCTGGGCCATCCAGTTCCGGGATAACACGGGAAAATATTCATCTGGTGCGAGGTGGGTTTCACAGAAATGCTCAGGAAAAGGTGGGAGGGGTGAGTTCCAGCCCTGTTTCTGAGAACGCTATATTTTTAAACACAGGGCACTGACATCACGTCTCTCAAGACACAGATTTAAAACTCTCCTGCCCGGGATTTATCCCGTGCTGCAAAAAAGAGAAGTGGCAAATATCCTTGATGCTTCTCATCCAAAGCGTCGCTCGAGCGCCAGTCAGAAGGAGCTGGCATGGTTTTGTGAAGAAGAGACGAAGAAGAAGAGAAGAAGAGATTGGATTTATACCCCGCCCTTCACTTGGAGTCTCAGAGCAGCTTACCATCTCCTTTCCCTTCCCCTCCCCACAACAGACACCCTGTGAGGTGGGTGGGGCTGAGAGAGCTCTGACAGAAACTGCTCTTTTTCAAGGACAGCTGTGCCAGAGCTTGTGACTGACCCAAGGTCACATCAGCAGGTGCAAGTGGAGGAGTGGGGACTCAAACCCGGTTCTCCCAGATTAGAGTCCGCGCACTTAACCACTATACCAAACCTAAGTTGGAAAAGAAATTCCCCTCTACATCTCATGCCGCTTTCACTTTCTTTGATTGCCGGATTTTATTGTGGACTCCACACTGGATGCTGGTTTCACTTCCTTTGATTTCTTGGTTTTATGGTACTGTCTGCATAGATTTATGGCCATTTTATCACTGTTCAGGGACTCAAAACCACATTCAAAAACCCGGGCAACACCTTACTGACTGCAGCTGTGCCAGAGCTTGTGACTGACCCAAGGTCACATCAGCAGGTGCAAGTGGAGGAGTGGGGACTCAAACCCGGTTCTCCCAGATTAGAGTCCGCACACTTAACCACTACACCAAACTGACTCTCCAGTGAACAGACATAAAACTGCCTTCTACTGAATCAGGCCATCCAGTCCATCAAGGACAGTCCTGTCTACGTAGACCGGCAGCCGCTCTACAGGGACTCAGGTAGAGGGTCTTTCCACTGGAGGTGCCGGGGGCTGAGCCTGGGACCTTCTGCATGCAAAGCAGAGGCTCTGCCACCGAGCCACAGCTCCATCCCCTAAACAACGGGTGTGGGGAGCTGTTCCCTGCTCACGTCCTTGCCTTCGCTCTCACGGAGCTGCCTTATACTGCATCAGATCACCAGTCCCATCAAAGGTCAGCACTGTCGACGCAGACTGGCAGCAGCTCTCCAGGGTCTGGATGCAAGTTTTATTAGATCTTCCAGGCCGCGCCTGGAGTCCTGTGCAATGTTCCCTCTAAGCTATGGAGCCCTGTGAGCAAAAATTCCACTTTGTGAGCCACTGGCATTAAAGTTGTGAGCAGGAGCAATTTGGCTGCTGCATAAATTAGTTTGCTCTGGAGCCGTCCCTTCCTGAGCTAAGACAAAAATGTGTGAGCCGGAGGCTAAAAAACTGTGAGCTGGCTCACACTCACTCAGCTTAGAGGGAACACTGGTCCTGTGTGCAGTTCTGGAGGCCTCCCGTCAAAAAGGATGTGGACAGAATGGGGCGGGTGCAGAGGAGAGCGACGAGGATGGTCCGGGGCCTGGGGACTGAGGAAAGGCTCTTAGGAATGTTCAGTCTAGAGAAGAGGAGGTGGAGGGGGGACAGGATGGCTCCTCCTTTGGAGGAGGCCAGGGAGCTGTTCCAGTTGGCAGCAGAGGAGAGGACCCGAAGCAACGGGTTTAAATTACATGCAGGAAGGTATCGACTGGATATTAGGAAACACTTTTTCACGGTCAGGGTGCTTCCAAGGTGGAATCCGCTGCCTGGGGGGTGGGGGGTGAGCTCCCCTTCACTGGCAGCTTTCCAGAAGAGGCTGGACGAATATTTGTCAAAGATGCTTCAGGCTAGTCCTGGATTGGGCAGGGGGTTGGACTAGATAGTCTGTATGGCCCCTTCTCTGATTCTATGGTTCTATGATAACTCTCTACACATTTCTCTAAATGCTTCATCAGGGGCCCACACATAAAAACATGTTCAAGGTGGGAGCCCGAGAACTTTTTATATAAGATCCTCCAACAAAGCATTTAACGAGATGCGTAGGGATCAAGAAAATCTAACAAAGCTTGTTCTTTTTCTCCTACCCACTGGGGCAGCCTTATTTTCTTCCTGTCTCAGAAGAACATGAGAGAAGTCATGCTGGACCAGGCCAATGGCCCATCCAGTCCAACACTCTGTGTCGCACAGTGGCCAAAACCCAACTGCCATCAGGAGGTCCACCAGCGGGGCCAGAACTCCAGAAGCCCTCCCACTGTTGCCCCCCAAGCACCAAGAAGACAGAGCATCACTGCCCCAGACAGGAGAACATAAGAGAAGCCATGCTGGATCAAGCCAGTGGCCCACCTAATCCAACACTTGGTGTCACACAGTGGTCAAAACCCAGGTGCCATCAGGAGGTCCACCAGGTCTCCAGGGTCTCAGGCTGAGGTCTTTCACATCACCTCCTGCCTGGTCCTTTTAACTGGTGATGCCGGGGATTGAACCTGGGGCCTTTTGCACACCAAGAGGATGCTCTGCCATTGAACCATGGCACCTCCCCACAGCTCTCCAGGGTCTCAGGCAGAGGTCTTTGACATCACCCACAGCCTGGTCCTTTTAACCGGAGATCCCGGGGACTGAACCTGCGACCCTATGCATGCCAAGCAGCAGCTCTTCCACTGAGCCATGGCCCCTCCTCTCCGACACTCGTGGTTAACACTGTTGGACTAGGATCGGGTTTGGATCCCCCGCTCTGCCACTGAAGCCCTGGGGGCCAGTCGCAGACTCTCAGCCGCCACGCCACGACAGCTCCCCTTACCTGAGTGAAGCGCCTCACTAAGCAGGTCTTCCCCACGCCGGCGTTCCCGATTAAAACTATCTTGAAGAGGAAGTCATAATCTTCCATACTCATTTACACAGCTGCGGGGGAAAGAGAGAGAAGGGAAATAAATGGACGGATCCAAGGCGTGGCTGGCCGCAGGGCCTTCCAGGAGTGCCGGAGCGCCGCTTGATGCTCACGGGTCAGGATCGGAAGGCAAATGCTGAAGGAGACAGATTGGAAGCTGTGGTGACGCTCTCCAGACAACAATGCCCTTTGCTCTTCCAGATATTCAGGATAAAGGTCACCACAGAAACGACAACCTCTCCTCGGGCATGTCGAATGGCATTCGGGAAACAGGGAAAGACATACAGCTGCCTTTCCAAGCAGTCAGACTGCAACCAGGGTAGCCCTGGTGGACAGCCAATGCCAGCTGGAGTTTAAAAAGGCCTCTCACAGAGCTGGTAAAAGACATTAGTATGACCAGAGGTGCCAGAGGAGAAATTGTTTGGACAAGCCAACTCCGGTGTGGTTTGGTACGGGTGTTTAAGTGGGACAATGACGAGAGCGGACAGGAAGTAAAGTGATTCCTTTGAGATGTGGTGTCGGAGGAGAGTTCTACAGACACCGTGGACCGCCGTAAAAGACAAAGTCAGTGGGGTTCTAGATCAAATCAAGTCTGAACTCTCCCTAGAAGCCAGAATGACTCGGGGGAGGCTATCGTACTTTGGACACGTTATGAGAAGACGAGAGTCACTCAAGACGTGAGCTGGGACCCACGAAAGCTCATCCCCCGCCACAGGTTTTGTTCATCTTCAAGGTGCTACTAGACTCTTGCTCTTTTCTACTACAGGAGTCACTGGAGAAGGCAATCATGCTAGGAGAAGTTGAAGGCAGCAGGAAAAGAGGAGGAAGAGGAAGAAATGGGATTTATACCCCACCCTTAATTACCCCGAAGTCGTCTCAGAGCGGCTTACAAACTCCTTTCCCTCCCCCTCCCCACAACAGACACCCTGTGAGGCAAAAGAAGAAGAAGAGATGGGATTTATACCCCGCCCTTCATTACCCCAAAGGCGTCTCAGAGCGGCTTACAAACTCCTTTCCCTCCCCCTCCCCGCAACAGACACCCTGTGAGGTAAAAGAAGAAGAGATTGGACTTATACCGCCCCCTTCAC